TACACAGTTGGGGCACTCGGGAGGCAGAGGCAGGCTGATCTCTGTGAGTTCAAGGCCATCCTGGTCTACAGAACGAGTTTGGACAGCCTCCAAAGCCACAGAGAAACCCTGTCTGGAAAAACCAAAAAAAAAAAAAAAAAAAAAAACACCACACAGTTGGGGAGTGGTAGCTCACACCTTTTGTCCCAGCACTCTGGGAGTTTGAGACCAGCCTGGTCTACAAAGTGAGTTCCAGAACATTGAGGACTACACAAAAAGAAAACCCATCTTGAAAGAAGTCCAAAAGGAAAAAGAAATTAAATGTATAATCCCAAACTTAGGACAAGTCCGTTTTTTCAGTGGCACGAGAATGATATATATTCAGTAGAAACTGTAGACACCATACTAAGCTTGGGTTTACTCCTAGGCTGGTGAGACAGTTTGATACTCTTAAAACCAGGGGCAAAGCCAGCTTAGCTCAACTTCCAGTCAGCTCCACAGGCACAATGGTAAACAATGAACACTGTCAAAGTTACAAGTGTAGTAGATTAGATAGATGCACTTTCCTTTTTGAGATAGGGGTTTTCTGTGTAGCTCTGGCTGTCCTGGTAGCCTCAAGCTCAGTGATCTGCTTGCCTCTGCCTTCCAAATTCTGGGATTAAAAGTGTGAACTGATGGGGGCTGGAGAGATGGCTCAGAGGTTAAGAGCACTGGCTGCTCTTCCAGAGGTCCTGAGTTCAATTCCCAGCAACCACATGGTGGCTGATAACCATCCATAACAAGATATAGTTCCCTCTTCTGACTTGCAGAGAGAACACTGTATACATAAAAAATAAATTAAAAAAAAAGTGTGAACTGATAACACCCAGCGTGGTGAATGTACTTTTGACTTACCACATTTTATCCTTCAAGGCCTCATCAGCAATAAACCCAACCTAAATCTAGAAGTATGTCTAAGGCTGGGTGTGGTAGCACAAATCTTTTTTATTTATTTATTTATTATATATACAGTATTCTGCTTGCATGTATGTCTGCAAGCCAGAAGAGGGCACCAGATCTCATTATAGATGATTGTAAGCCACCATGTGGTTGCTGGGAAGTGAACTCAGGACCTCTGGAAGAACAATCAGTGTTCTTAACTTCTGATCCATCTCTCCAGCCCCTGGCACAATTCTTTAATCCCATCATTTTGGGAGGCCAGTGGATTTTGAGTTCAAGACCAGTCTGGTCTACAAAATGACTTCCAAGCCAGTCAAAGCCACATGAACAGTAAGAACACCGCTTCCTCACACACAAATACTATCTAAAATCTGTTACAGATTTACAAAATACAAGGTCTACACTGTGTATGGATGTTGCTCCCTCATTTGTTTTGTTACTGACAGAGGTCTGATGCAAGTCGGTCTTGAACTCACTATATAGCTGAGCATGGCCTTTAGCCTCTGCATCTACTGCCCAAGCTTGAAAGTGGCCATTATTATGCTCACCTTGTGGGACTTATGGAGAAACTGAGGCCCTAGTCACAAAGAGCAAAAATATGGCAGAGGTATATAATGGCCACGAGGCCCCCAGTTCTAATCAAGTGTCTTTTCCTAGCCCTCACAAAACACTTTCCCCCTTGAAAATGTAAGCAGAGTGTTTATTTTTGGGTTACATCTTAAAACATTCTTCTAGCTCTCCACTATAAACTATCAGTTTAATGCAAGATCATGCAGGGGCACTTACTACACAGACTAAGGAATGCTATTATGGTTACCTTTCAAAGAATGGTACCACTTCTTACCCAATTTCTTACAATGGTGTACCCTGGAACAAAAGGGTATCCCTATCCTACCTCTATCCTCTCCTCCATATATCCCAACAACTGATCTGGTTGGAAGCCAATGTACAGCAAATTCCCAGGAAGAGACATTCTTTTGGCCAAAGATAGTCCTGAGAACATGGTAATGCATGCCTTTAATTCCCAACACATGCTAGTCGGTTCTACATAGTTAAGTTCCAGGACAGGCACAGCTACATAATACAGCCCATCTTAAAAACAAAACAAAACAGGCCGGGCGTTAGTGGCGCATGCCTTTAGTCTCAACACTAGGGAGGCAGAGGCAGGTAGATCTCTGTGAGTTCCCGAGAGTAGCCTGGTCTACTAAGCTAGTTCCAGGACAACCTCCAAAGCCACAGAGAAACTCTGCCTCAAAAAAAAAAAAAAAAAATTCAAAAGCAGCTAAGGTTTCAGAATAAACTTAATGGTACACAGAAACTTAAGAAATAAAACCTCAACTTTTCCCTAGGGCTAAGGAAAACACCCATCCCCCAAATTGGACTCAGAGAGTTCATGGTAATACTTCCTGCGACACTGATAGGAAGTACACCACGCTCCCCAGAGTGGCTTCAGGCAAAAGCTGTTCTGAGCCTCCCCCCCAACACACACATAAGCACTCTTTGGACAAGGATGTGAGCAGAACACAGTCTGCTCTACTGAGCACTCAGAAGGAAGAACACTCAATCCTCCAAATTCAGGTTCCTGGATTTCTGAGTAGGGTGAAGTATCATCAGATATGCTTGAAGATCAGAGTGGGCCCAGGATCACTGTGGTACAGGCCCTAAGCACTTCACAGCCCCAAACATTTCCAAAAGTGTGCAGCTAACAGGAAATAAATGTTTCTGAGCCAATGTCCCCACTAACACTCCAGCTGGGAGAGGACTGGGAAGCAGGGTGAGGGTGGCAAAGATGTAGGGACCACAAGGATTTATGTTTCACTAAAAGGCATTTGGGACCTTCAAGCTACCTAATTCATGTCTGTACCTACAAAAATACTTTTAGTTTATTGTATACTTCTTTTTATCTCAAGACCATCCCATTTCAGCCTCTTGAGTGAGGCTTGTATACCCAGAGCTAGCTAGCTAGCTTTCTTTCTAGGCTAAGTCTCCCAATTACCCAGGTTGGCCCTGAACTCTGGGATCAAGCAATCCTCTTGTTTTAACTTCCTGAGTAGTTAGGACTCTACAGTAGCTTAAATTTTAGTTTATATTAAAGTTGCTGGCCGTGTGGTGGTGGCGCATGCCTTTAATCCCAGCCCTCAGGAGGCAAAGGCAGGAGGATCTCTGAGTTAGAGACCAGCGTGGTCTACAACAGCTAGTTTCAGGACAGCATCCAAAGCCACAGAGAAACTGTCTAGAAAAAAAATAAAGTTGCATGTATAAATATAAAAGGAAAAAGGAGACAAAAAGCTTTCAGGAGTGACAGCTCTGTAATCTCAGGCTCTGGGGAAGTTGGAGCAGGAGGAGCAACATATTTATGGCCTATCTGGGCTAGAGTTTTTTCAAAGCCTGATTAAAATTTTAAAAGTGAAAAGATAGATGAGGAGGAAAAGAAGAAAAAAGAAAAAGGTAGGATGTAGCGGAGTGGCCCACACCTTTAATCCCAACACCCAGGACTTAGGAGGCAGAGACAGAGGCAAAGGCAGGTAGATCTCTAGGTTTGAGGCCACCCTGGTCTATACAAATTATTACAAGCCAGCTAGGGATACATAGTGAGATCATGTCTTATTAAAAAAAAAATCAAAAAGATGTTTTGGATCTAGAAATATCTCAGTGGAGGAGTGCTAGGCTAGGCTGGCATGTACAAGGCTGAAGGTCTCAATACTAAAACAACAAAGGGAAAAAAATGCACTGGCTTAGAATATTTAGACTCCACTCTGAGCACTACTGTAACTAAAGAACATCTAGAATTTTTATTGACAGGTGGGGTTAGGGTCAATACCAGGGTCTCATGCCAACATGGGAAATTTCAAGTGAGCATGGGGATTATCATAAAATGCCCCACTCAAACACCTGGAGCATTAATTAGCTTAACCATTATAGAACATGGTATGGAAAAACCTATGTTAAACACCCTTTTCTTTCCTCCTGAGTCTACAGTACACGATTCAGACTATTGTGATTCTTCCTGAAGTAAAGTTCTCACAGAATACTTTTTCATGCTTTGGTAAACACAGTGTCTTTTTATTTTGTTGTGATTTTGAGACAGGGTTTGTTCTATAGACCAAGCTAGCCTCAAATATGTAGTCCAGGTTGGCCTCAAAACTTGCGGCAATCTTCCTGCCTCAGCCTCCCAAAGGCTGAGATTACAAGCATGAGCCACTAACCAGCTAGAATATCTGCAAGAGTCACAGAAATGTCAAATAGCCTCAACATGCATGTGCAGAAAAACCTTCATGGAAGCAGCTGGGCAGCCTACAGTGTGAAGCACCCGCACGGTGTAGTTTCTATTTCCTCATCTACGCTTCACTGCTTAATAACGTATCAGAGCCTTCTGGTTGATCACCAAGGTAGGCTTTACATTTGTGTCTGCAGGTTTACTTCTAGACCAGTGACTCTCAACCATCCTGATGCTGTGACTCTTTATTACAGTTCCTCTTCATGGTTCTGAAGACACCAACCAAAAATTATTTTTGTTGCTACTTCATAATGCAAATTTGCTGTTATGAATCATAATGCAAATATCTGTGTTTTCTGATGGTCTTAGGCAACCCATGAAAGGGTCAACTGACCTCCAAAGGGGTCATGACCCACAGGTTGAGAATCACTACTCTAGACTCTCCAGTAGGCAAAAGGAAAGAAACTGAGTTCTTCACTGGGCTGGTACTGCACTTCTTTCATCCCAGCACTAAGGCAGAGGTAGGATGAGCTCAGTGAGTTCAGGGTCACCCTAGCCTACAGAGTACATTCCAGACTAAGCAGGGTTATGTAGTGAGACCCAGTCTCAAATTAAGAGAGGAAAAAAAAAAAAAAAGGAAGGAAGGACGGGAGGAAGGTAGGAAGGAAGGAAGAAAGGAAACAGACTTCTCATAAATAAAAAAGGATTGGTGTGGGCACTACAGGCACAAATGCCAGAGCACATTTGCTGGTCCTGTTTCACCTTAAAACACACCCTGCAGGGTGGGGGATCAGAGTGACTACCAGTCACAAATCACACCCACCAGAAGACCACCCTGCTTCTCTAAGGGTCAGCCATGGGATACAGTTCTTTGTCTTTCCTGAGGAGATCATTGTACATCTGGTCATATGTGGTTTTGAAGTCATAAACATTGGGCTTGTCAGGTGCTGGTCCTGGGAGCTTCACATGAGTTCCTGTTCCAAAGGACCGGACACTGAAACCCCGCTTGCTGGAAGACACAAAGAAGAAAGAAACATCATAGTTGGATTAAAACACGAAGTTCTCATACCAAAGGATACAAACAGAAATGTACAATCTTTTTATTTTTTTATTAAATGTGAAGTGTTTAATGAATTTTCATGCCATCCTCATGCAGGTGCCATGCTAATCTTCTCTGTATCATTCCAATGTTAGTATATGTGCGGCCAACGCAAGCAAACACACTATTTTTCTTTTTAAAATTTCACATTATTTGTGTGTGTGTGTGTGTGTGTCTGGTTAGGCAATGAGCTCCATCCACCTGTCCTTTCACCCCGTACTCCTGCCCCTAGTGCTAGGCATACACACAAACCTGACTTTTACATGGATGCTGGAAATCTGAAACCAGGTCCTCATGATTGGAGAGCTGGCACTGTAACAAATCCACCATCTCCCCAGCCTGTTTTTAATTTGTTTACCATTATTATTCAAGACCTGGTCTCTCCATGCAGATCATCAGGCTGCCCTTCAACTCAAGGGCCTGCTTCTGCCTAAATGTGAAAACTACAGCTGTTTAGTGACATTACTGTGAACTCAAAATCCTGATTGAAATTTAGAACACTGTAGTCACCTGACCAACTTCCTAGCAATCCAGACTTAAGTACACAGAGGAGTCCTGCATGGACAAACTGCCACAATAGCAGCAGTGACTTTCTGGAATCCAGCAGGCTGCAGATTCTGATAAACCAGAAAAATGCAGAAGAGCTACAGGACAAACTAATTAGACCCACCTAGCAAACTACATCTGCACCAAAAGACGTAAAGCACCATATGATATGTATGCATGTTTTGTTTTTAAGAAATCCAACAAGCAGCCGGGCGGTGGTGGCACATGCCTTTAATCCCAGCACTCGGGAGGCAGAGGCAGGCGGATCTCTGTGAGTTTGAGAGGTCAGCCTGGTCTACAGAGCTAGTTCCAGGACAGCCTCCAAAACAATACAGAGAAACCCTGTCTCGAAAAAACCAAAAAAAAAAAAAAAAAAGAAAAAGAAAAAGAAAAAAAGAAACCCAACAAGCCGGGCGTTGGTACACGCCTTTAATCCCAGCACACAGGAGGCAGAGGCAGGTGGATCGCTATGAGTTTGAGGCCAGCCTGTCTACAGAGCAAGTTCCAGGACAGCCTCCAAAAAAAAAAAAAGAACAGCCTCTGATTCTTAGTGCTGGGATTACAGTCTTGTGTTGTGTCACTGCACCTGGCTCAATAGCTGTGATTTTTAAAGTTTTTCTGTAGTACACTGCTATAACCCGAAAGTATCATGTAGTAGCATTCAGTAGGTATAAAGTAAATGACTGGTGGACGTCAAATAAACAGAAATACTAGGATATGAATTAGGAAAGAGATTTCTCATTACAGCTAGATACAAGGCTGCTTAGCCATTATTTACAGTGGTAATGAGTCCCCAACTAAGTAAAACTAGCTACACCTGAAAGTCAAACTTCAGTTCCAGAAACACAGACAGGCACGCATGCACCAACAAACTACTTGGTTGTAAGTCTACACTATCATCTCCAAGCACTGTTTGAAGCAGCACCAGAGAGGTCTGGCTAAAAGAGAACTGGTGCCAGGCAACACAGTCCTATACCCATTAAATTCACTTACAAAGAGTTCACAAAGACAGACATATAAAAAAATAATTCTAGCTGGGTGCTGTGGTGCATATCTTTAATCCCAGCCCTTGGGAGGCAGACAAGTAGATTTCTGAATGCACAGCTAGTCTGGTCTACAGAACTAGTTCCAGGACAGTCATGGCTATAGACATAAATCCTGTCTCAAAAACACTTAAATATTCTAAAAAAAAAAAAAAAAAAAAAAAAAAAAGCCGGGAGTTGGTGGCCCACGCATTTAATCCCAGCACTTGGGAGGCAGAGGCAAGCGGATTTCTGTGAATTGGAGGCCAGCCTGGTCTACAGAGCGAGTTCCAGGACAGCCTCCAAAACAATACAGAGAAACCCCGTCTTGAAAAATCAAAACAAACAACCAAAAAAAAGAAAAAAAAAAGGCAGTGGTGGTACACGCCTTAATCCCAACACTGGGGGGGGGGGCACGCAGATCTCTGTGAGTTTGAGGCCAGCCTGGTCTATGGAGCTAGTTTCAGGACAGCCAGAGCTACAGAGAGAAACCCTGTCTCAAAAAACAAACAAAAAAAATCTGAAAAAAGTAGTTCACATTTAAGTTAGGAAACTCAGCTTAGGTCACTGAGGTTGATAAAAAGCTGATAAAAAGTGCCTGTGTTTCTACAACATCTTGACTATACAGCCAGATCCCCAGAATATGATACAGAAGGAATACAACCTAAAGCATCATCACTAAAACCCAAAGTTCACATACCTGAGCTACTAAAATAAACTGGAAACACAAATATTCCAATGTTCCAACAAAAAGTGAGCTAGAAAGCAACAAATGCCAGGTGTTGGTCAGAACTGGAAAGGTCTCACAACCAGACATGAGACAGGTGACAGGAAACCTAAATATTATGCCTTCTTGAGAAAGGTCAAAGCAGAGGGTCCCCTTAACCTAAATTTGAAACAATTTCCTTACAAACTTGGATAACATGCAATAAAAAGCCTTATTATTCATGAAAACATAAACAAGAATGAGCAGACAACTTGAAGGTTCCCAGGTCCAGAGAAGCACTATCAGGTGAGATCATTTGACTACCACACCCTTTAATGTGGTAGCCCTTTGTTTTACAGTTCACACACCCAAGTTATGGTGCCCCAGCGCCTACCACTGGCATGCTCTGCATGAGTGCTGAGATTAAGTAAGGGTCACAAGATAAAGACTTCCTTCTTCAAGCCAATGAGTTTTGTTTTGGGAGGAGAGAACCGACTCCTCCTTTGACCACCACACTCATCATGATATGGTTTTTCGAGACAGGGTTTCTCTGTATTGTTTTGGAGACTGTCCTGGAACTTGCTCTGTAGACCAGGCTGGCCTCGAACTCACAGAGATCCGCCTGCCTCTGCCTCCCGAGTGCTGGGATTAAACGTGTGTGCCACCAACACCCGGCTGCCAATGAGTTTTTAAAACACAACAATTATCGGGTCTAGAGAGATAGCTTTACAGTTAAAAAACTTGTTCTTGCAGAGAATTCAGGTTTAATTCCCAGCACCAGATGTTGGCTCACAACCACTGATAACCCCAGTTTCAGGAATCTGAAGTCCCCCTCCTCTGCTTTTTAAAAATTTTTTTTTATCTATTTTATGTGCATGAATGTTTTGCTTCTGTGCATACACATGTATATCATATGCATCCTGGACCTGGAGTTATGAACAGTTGTGAACAACCATGTAGATGCTGGGAATCAAACCTGGGTCTTCAGCAATAACAAGTACTCTCAACAACTGAGCCATCTCTGCTTCACCCCTATGTCCTCTTCTGACCTCTATGACCACTAGGCACACATGCAGTGTACAGGAATATATGAAAGCAAAACATGAATACACATATAAAAATACAAATCCAAACTTTTAAAAATAGAACATGTAATGAATGACAAATAAGATCTTTACTACAAAGCACAAAACAACACAAAGTCAAGCAGGGAACAGGGAAAGGAGGTGCATGCCTCTGATCTCAGCCCTCCAGAGGCAGAAGCGGGCAGATCTCTGTGAGTTTGAAGCCAGCATGATCTACATAGCAAGTTTTAGGATAGCCTGGACTACATAGAGAAACCCTGTGGCAAAAAACAAAAATGTATATATAAAACATACAAACTAAGCTGGGGGTTGGTGGAGCACACCTTTAATCCCAGCACTCGGGAGGCAGAGGCTGGCAGATCTCTGTGAGTTTGAGGCCAGCCTGGTCTACAGAGGGAGTTCTAGGACAGCCGATGTTTTCCATAGGCATGAATGAGGTCAAAGGTAATGGTAATGTTTTACAATCAAAGCCACTTGTGACCAAGTATGAATAAATCAAGTATTTGAGAAGCCATCTTAAGATCCCTCCACTCACTGCTAAGACCCACTCTAAAGGGATCACAAGAATCATTTTAGCAATGAGGAAAGCAAAAAGCTCATTTCTTTTTGGTCATTCCTGTGAAGTATAGAGGTAGGTCTCTTGGCACAAGGCTTAAGTCTCAGGTATACAGAAGGCTGAGAGGCAGGAGAATCAAGATTTCAAGACCAGCCTAGGAAACAAAACAAAGTAATGTAGGAGTCAGAGGCACTTCAAATGCATACAACATAATCATTATACAGACCAAGCACATCCCCAAGAGTATTGCAAAGGGCAGGATAGATATGACCACAACTCCCCAGAGGGTTGTAAGGTGGCTATAGAATTTTCCACAGGGAGCATTCTCCAGTTTATCTACATTCCTATAATTACACCATCTCCAAAACTTGACCTAGTCTTTATGTGGATACAAGACTTAAGAGCTGCCTGCACGATTGGACAGCCATCGCATTAGTGTTGTCCCACCTCCATCTTTCTGAACTATTACTTCAAAGCATCCTTTTTAAAAATAAATTGCAAGGCAGTTTGTTTCCCCCAAAAAAGCTGTTCCCAGGTGGCAAAATGGCTAATTAGCAACAGAAGCTCTGCTTTCTCTGAAGCTTCTGAAACTGGCTTAACAGCCCATCTTGTATGGTGACAATCTGCTTCTTACATAAAGGCAATGAAATTTATAAAAATACTCTTCACAACCAACAGCTTTGTCTGAAGGCCAATTATTCTGTCTAATCGTCCACAAAAATAAATGTCTTTCACATCTATCAAAAATCTATCAGTAAATTTATTGGAGGACTCAAATCCTGAATCTATTACTTCTAAAAGCAAGTACACCTCCAAAGAGTAAGTACTATAATCCTGTCATCTTTACTCAAGATTAGCTACAACCTATTAGTATGATTTCTAGAATGCTAATGACATCATTCTGTAGAACCCAAATCAATTGTTCACAGGCTACCAGTCTTCCAACGTTTTTAAGGCTGGTGAGATGTTATCGTATGGTTATGAAGTATTTACCAAAAAGGCTAATAGAGCCCAGTATGACAGCTCACACCTTTAATCCCAGTATTGCCAGATGGATCTATAATTGGCAGGTGCTCAAGGCCAGCCTGGTCTACAGAGCAAGACAGCCAGTCTATAAAAAGGAAAAAAAGTTCAAGAATTCCAACCTAAACAATGGGTTAATATAAGGGATTCAAAATTTGATGATGTTTATTGGGGAGG